ATAAAATGCCCACGTCGTTATCCAAAATTTAGTAAAACGGCAAAATTTTAATATGAAGACCGAAATGTAATTTTTTGAAACGTAATTTTATAAAGATTTTTGACTCAGAGTATTTAAACAATTTTTATTATAAAAAAATTCAACAGGTATTTGCACAATGTAAATAAATAATAAACAAATAATACATTTACAAAAGTTTGGCTTAAAATTGGTGGATATTACTTTCATATGGTTTTTGCAAGGAAAATAGAAGACTGCTTCACAAAAGCATCCAATTTAGTTTTAAACAATTCTGATAGTATTGGTTCAGACAACTTGCATAAAGCGTTTTTAACAACATACTCCACATAAACCTAAAAAAAAAATAAAATTACAGAAAGCATATTTTTTTGTAGGTTTAATGAAATGCATACTTTATTATATATTTCCTGTATCAATTCTCTAACTCCATGGGTATTTGTATCCGTATTTAATACGAATTTAATACCAGAAGGAGTTTCCAAAAAGTTTAGTGCATATTTTGATGTTTTGTAACAGAGAAAACCTTCTTTAATATCTAATGGGGAAATTTTACTGACAAACGATTTAATTGAAAAAAGCATTCCATACATTAGTTTTCCTTCCTATAAATATAAAATTTTCTATATCAAAATATGTACCACATATTTATTTTGAAGTTCTTACCTCTGGTCTCGTCATTCCTGATTGCTTTAATCGATTCCATTCATGGTAAAACAACAACGTCCCATTACGATCGAATATATACAAATTATAAATAGTCATTTTTATCTAGTTTTAACTTTTAAACGCTTAAAACATTACTTAATCACCTTTTATTTAATGTTTACAAGTCAGTTTAAATTAAGGTTATGGTCTAGTTTGTTTGTAGTATTTTATCTATGGTAGTGTTCATAGAATGGTCCATAGGCAGTATATTTTTTAATCTTTAATAGTGTCTAAATAGTACCGACCGTATTCAGTTAAGTCTTTTACTTAATAGGGGTTGTACCGAAATTTTTCATTAATATTACAAATATCGTGCTTGAAGAAAAAAATCATTTTATTAAACAAACAAATACACAAAAATTATTACAGATATAATTTAATTAGTTCGTCACTAACAGCAGACGGGGTAAGAATACCCAAATCAGTAAAGAGAAGGGTAATTAATGCAGGGGGAGTGTAATCCACAAGGGGGTTTAGTTTACTTATATCTTGTTTCCTCATATCAGGCGTATACTAAAAGAAAACTAATTAAAGAACAATTATTTTCGGGCATATAAGAACATAATTACTTTATAAGTATCTGGAAGATCTGCTTGATTTAATGGAAACAAACGGGAAAACTTAAAGCTTTCAGTAAGGACATAAAACGGTCTGTTCATTTCTTTTGCACAGAGAGCCATAGTATAGGTTCCAATCTGTAAGAGTATTAGAAATATTAGATAATTATAATAGCAATTTTGGCTACAATGCTTTACTTTATTTATCACTCCTCCACTTTCTACAACAGCTTCAGCCCCTACAATTACAAAATCAACCTGTTCCATTATGTAACCAACTGCTGAGTCCAATATTAAAGTGTGAGGTATATTAGCAGCCTTCAAGTCTTTACACATCTTTTCACTAAAAAATATGTTTTACAGAAACTCAGTAGGCAAATAAAATTTAAAAACCAAAATTTTACACATTACCCACTGTTATCTGGTGCAGATTTTGTGACAAATACTTCAAATTGTTTATTTTGTTTAGCAGCTTCTTTTAGTGTCTGCAATACCACTCGAGATCTTGAATGAGTTAAGACTTTCTAAGTATAAAAAACAGATTAGTAACTTAAAAAATGATAGCTAATTTATCTTACAGAACCATCCACAATAAACTGTGACGCTCTTTTAGCAATTTTTCCTTTGGCTTCATTAAGATTCTTTATGAAAAGATGACCTCTGTTCAACATAATCTCCTTGCATTCGTCAAATGTCTATAACAATAACTATGGTTGTATTAGCATACAAAATATTCATTTTTACCTCTGTGTCTAGTTTTGTAAAGGTAATAAACCTACGAAACAGCTCACATCCTGAATTAATCGCAGCTACAGGACAGTTTGTCTCTTGCATGGCTTCGACACCCATTTTCAAATTCTCATCTAGTCCTTGGATAGTTTTGTCTGAAAATGAGATTATGACTATTATTATATTCTATGTACAAATTAATACTCTTACAGCTGTATTTTCTTAGAATTTCCATCAAAGTTCTGATAGCAGCAATTCCAGCAGATACATCTTTCTCTTTTTGGAGAATTGTTAAAAAATACTGTTTAATATCTGTAAAAAATTACAGAAATAGAAAACAGAGTATTAGTTTAATCTAAAAGAAATATTTACCTTCTTTTTTCATTTTAAAGATGCTATTTAACTTGATTCTTAAGCTAACAAAACTTTTAACAGTATAACCTAAACATGATATACTAACCTACATATTTTTATAAAATGGTTCTTAACTTAATAAAAAACATGAAAACAATTCAAATTAAAATTTAAAATATAAAAATGAACTTTAGAACAGTCAAGAACTTTATAATTCGTAGTGTTTTGTTTTTGTTAACTTTTTAAGAAGTTTTGGAAAGTTTTGCTACCTGCAATGTATATGAGTATTGTGTGTTGTCTAAGCACATTAAATGCAACAATTAATTTACGTTATTAATGATAATTATTTATTAGTGGTGTTAGGGGTAGATTAAGAAGATAAATATTCGTTATACTGTAATGTTTTTGCATACATCTAAAATACTTAACTTTTATTAAAAATGGAACGAATGGATAGGCACAAGTGTGTAGAGATAAAGTAGTTGGAAAAATTTTGTTAATTATTTCTTTCTTATAAAGCTGTTAATTAATTTTTGTATATTTATTTAATAAGAGTATTATTTTTTAAATTTAAAGAATCTTAAGAGCTTTCTAATAAATAACAGAATAAATATTTCCTCCAATCGCGGTGTGCTTTGGTAACTTGTCTATGGTGGTAAAAGAATGCGATGGAAGACAAATGCAAGCAACAAGAAACTGTTTTCAGTCTGTTGTCGGTCTTGTTGTGAGTCGTTCGGTTGTAGGTTCGTTGTTTAATTTGCTGTGTACTCCGTGCTTAAAAATAATTAGTAGTGAAATTTAAGAAGTGTGTAAAGTGAGATAAATAACTTTATGTACATTCGACTGTAAATTACTCTCACTTGCGCTTGTTAATTACGTATATGTTAAATATATGGGATAAAGCTACTCACTTGACTTACGATACCATCTCAAGTAAGTTTAAAATCCTTCACAATGTTTTTTAAATGACCTCCTACTGATTTAAATGATTTTTACAGAATTGTTGTTAATTAAAATATTTCAATTAACTTGTTGAAGGTAGTAGTGCCAATGTGAAAGTAAAACCTGTTGAATATTAAAGTTCTACATTTCATACAGTACAGTACATGTATTATAGATCTTTTTGTACCTATTGCCAGAATAACTGCAATCTTATTTTAAGTCCTAGTCTAGGTTTTAAGTTTTGTTATCCGAATATAATATTTATAGTATGTTAAAGTAATACTGGCATACACGTTTATTTACAAAGTTTGAATTCGTAGTAGTATAAAAGAATATGCTATTAAAAAAGTGACCGTTAACATTACAATGGCGTGACTGAAAAAATGCTTTTCAGGGGTTAAAATTTGTTCTTATTTGCTGAACAAATAATGCAGGAATTGTATATGTCTAGAAGCTTTTGCCTTTTAAAAAAGCTTGAAGAATTAAGTTCTAAAAACGAAAAACTAGAGTATTTTAGAGAAAAATATTTTAATTATTTATATTAATTACTACTCTATTTTAATTGAGTTAATCATTAAAGTGACGTTCTCAGAAGCCTATCTCT